AAGGCTTGGAACATGGCGGAAGGATAATTTAGGAGGCGAACAATATTGATTGACATGCGGCAGGAACTCACCTCAGCAAGGAGGGTGGGTCGTTCGTGGGTGCCTCTTTTTCTCCTTTGCCCTGAACTGCCTTCCAGAAAATGATCGATTCGGTGGGTGTCAGCCAGCCTGCTGAGGTCGGTTTCGATTTCCCTTTTGTTTGATGTGAATGTTGTTTTCTGTTGGGTCGCATGGAAGGAATCTTCGACTTCTTTTTGGCCTTGTACCAGAGGTCACAGCCATTGACTTCGTGTCCCTTACTGCATCTGTCGGTCTGTCTGTCTGGGCTTGTCTATTTGTATCGGTCGGGTACCTCCGACACATTCATTTGGTTTGAGACTGAACCAGAACCCAGACTTTCTGCAACAGCCTTGGGAAGTCTGGGACTCATGATGATTAAGCTCCTCACTACGCAATCTCATGCGAAGTCAATCAATAATGAAACCTGCGGAGCAAGTTTGAAAAAGGGGGAGGCGAAACCCCCCCCCCCCCCTCCTCCTCCTAGTCCTTAGTAACGTAGTGCTGCAGACCCCGGGCAGCCGAAAGTGGGACAGGGAGAGACGGAGAGAGGAGACGGAGAAGAACTTCTAGAAAATTTCCGTGGGATTTCCTGAATGGGGGTGGTTTCCCCATCGGATTTCCCATCTGCTTCCCATCTGGCATCCCACCCGGTATGGCACTAGTGTAAGAACCGTCAGATTCTGACGTAGTTCGGTTTTTTCCCTTCTGTCCGAGTGGAGCTCAGCTCCTGTTCCCGACAGGGGGTACGTCCTTAATATTATTGACTGGGGGTATTTTTTCCCTTTATTTTATTTTTTTTGCGTTCGATTTTCTTACCTGGCGCGCGCTCTTGTTGAACGCCAATCATTCTTAGTCGGTGTTTTTTTCTCGCCCAGATAGGATTTGAAAAAGAAAATCAAAAACAAAAATATTGCAGACAAAAATATTTTTTTTTAAAAAAGGAAGAAAAATAAAAGAAAAATAACACCGCGACAGAGCAAGATTCAAGTGTATATATTAGGCACCTTCGAACCTCGCTTTTGAGACTTTCCTTTCCTCTTCCTTCCTAGACTTCAAAGATCTTGAAACTATTCAAAGAATCATCACCACTACCAACCCACTACTACCGCTGCGCAGACACTCCCCATATTCTGCCTCAACACCACCACCATCAACCATTTCGACTACCATCTCCACACCTACTCTCAACAACTACATCACAATGCCTTCCATCGGTGGTACCTCTCAATTCCCTCCCTGCCCTGGCCCTCCGCCAAAGGGACCTCTTCCTCCGCTCCCCAAGTAAACAATGGGTGTACCATCTCGATATGAACTTGACGACCAATTGATTCGGACTGGTTCCTCTCCATCGCATCTGCTCCGCCTTGATGAATATCTCGATCGAGCGGGCCGGTTCGAATCGCTCATGAAATGGGAGCTGCACCCTTTGGCATGGATATGACGATTTCGTTTTTGGGACTCGCACTACGGCTTTTTACCACATACGCCTTTTATTCGACACGCTTCAATACCACCTCATTCTATCTTCATCACCCCTCTACATCATCTTTCGGGATCTTACCTCTTCTGGGATTACGCGACAGCATCTGAACCGATTCTCTCCTGTTGCCGATAATTTCACTTCTCCACCCAAGACGATCTTCCTGGAGACGAGCGCAGGCGCTCTGCTCCAATTTCCTCCATCAGCAATTGCGCTTTGGTTGTTGCGACATCAGCACATCATCACTCACGGTTTCACGGTGCCCTTACGTGGCTGGTGGACCGAGCAGCGGACCCTGCCGCCTGAATTACCGAACCTGCAACTGTTGCCAAACGGAAGGCCATGTGTCTCATCTGGACCTTGGCGGGTCACTCGGTAAACTCGTGGGTTCCAAAATCGGCAGCCTTGTCAGTCCCTGGGCAGCCAGTCAGCATTTCCACCAGCAACCCCGCAAGAGTCGGTGACGACACGACTCCCGCCCGCTCGGGTTCCCATGTGAGATATTCTCGGATCCTGCTTGGATTTGCCGGGACTGACCCCTCCTCTCACATCAACCTGTTGATGTCAATGCGCTGATCCGTGTGGTGATGTTTACCATCATGCATTGCTATTGGCGGATGGGATCACTTTGCATCTCAGCCTATATTTTAATCATCGGGGGGATTTTTTTCTTTTTTTTTCTCATTCCACCCAATCCTCTTGTATCATCTTGATTCCTTATCTTCGTCTTTCGGGGGGTCTGAGCTTTTCATCTTTGATTCCACGTGCATGTATAATAGACTTAATATACCCACCAGCATATCGCAACTTACTGCGCGCGCGCGATTTGACATCGCTAATGAGATTGACCATACTTATTACTACTCTTGATACCTTGAACATCCTGTTGTAAATCAGTGTAAATCCCGCATTGTAAGACGACACAGTCCCATTGGTCGTGTGGTAATTAACTGCGAGACAACGGGCTGTTCCCTTGCGTTGATTGAGGATCGACGGACAGATGCCCGGCTGGACAGGGATCATGATACCATAGCTGAGGGAAGCAGCCCTCCCTCCCTCCTTCCTTCCTTCCATCTATCCCCCCGCTTCACAAGCGACGATCTGAAACCAGCCAAAAGCGGATTTATGACTCAAACGACTAAGCGGATGACGATGGTGATGATTATGATCCCCATTACGAAATCATGATCCTGACTGGGTGGGTGGCAGACAGTTGGGGCCTTATCGGAAAGCCGAGGGCAACTTGGAACTGTTTACCTTTTTTTTCTCTTTTCCCATGGCAGAGGTCCAAAGTCAATAGTCGCGCCGGCGAACATCCCTCCATCATCCCTCCCTAACTCTCCCGAGGTGGCGTGCCTTGGGCGCCCCTGATACGGTGACGGTCCGTGGGGAGGAAGAGGGGGGGAAGCTGTTCATCAGGCTGAAAATAATACTTAGTCTTGCACTGTCCTAGTTCCGGCTTATGGTCACTAATAGTTATGTTTACTATCGCTATAATTGATACTGAACTGAGTCACTCATGACATCCATAACGTCGAATGAGCTAATCTAACCCACATGCACTATTTATTGGCATGCATATGTATGGCATGGGTCCGAGAGCCGTCGATGATCTGAATAGGGCAACCTGACGATGTAATCATGATAAGCTACGACTGTCACTTGCCCGGAGGCTGTTACTCAGCTCAGAAGTGTAAAACCCCACGATGGCAGGCACTGCAGGCAGCATCTACTTCCACTTCCTTCCAGTCCACAGCACTTCTGGGCCAAGTTTACTCCAGTTCCTTGGTTGCGAACAACAAGAGGTGGGGGGAGAGCTGGAAACTGGTTGAACCGTTGCTATAACGTCCTGTGTCCTTGTTTCCGGACTGGGGAATCTTCTACCCTAACCTATTCGATTCTTTTCTCAAGTCGACCACGTCCCATGTCCACGACACCACCACCATAACTAAGTCTAAATGGTGCGTGCCTAGCCCGGCAAGTCCGATCGCAGGTCAACTGACCTGACCTGAATCCTGACCCTGGCACTTGAACGCGGGGACCTGAAGGGGAGGGGGGTACTGTACCTGATTCGGTTTAACGCCACTCCGACCTTACTAGACTCCTACGTGTAGAGTTCCCCCCCCTCCTTGTCCACAGTCTCTCAACCATAATCCACTTACTCTCTCCCACACCCTCCTTGAACAAACTGCGGTCCAGGCACGTTCCACTTGTTACCCGCACTCTGCTCCATTGCAAAACGGATATCATGCCATCGCCATGTGCTCCAATGTATGGACGGGAGTGGAAATTGAGTTTTCCTTGATCGGGAGTCCCTGGATATTACCACTCTAGGTAGGTGTGGATGTTTACCTACCTGGTAGTAGGTAGACTAGGGTATTTGGAAAATGGGAGGAGGAGAGCCAAAAGAAAAAAGAAAAAAAAGAAAAAAAAAAAGAAAAAGCCGGAAATCAATCCCTCCTCTCACGTTCTCTTCTTTCCTCTTCCTCCCTCTTAAGCGCTCCGAACTAAATAAGAAGCGCCACTGCGTTGATGCGTTGTTGCCCTGCGGCTCGTCGATTGAGGAAGTGTGGGTGGTTCGTTGCAATTTCTCATACCGAGGATTTGCATTGCCAAAGCAGGAATCAGCTTAGGATGTCCTGTACACTACTTTCAACTAGCTAACCTACTCCTTACATCCTACGTAGTGATTTCTTTTGCCGTGGGATACTATCAATCACCTGGGGAAGAGAGTTGGGATTGTTATACTCATATCGGTAGATGAGTGGATGATGGGGTGTCTATCTTGTGCTGGGTGCTTATCATTCGATCGTCGTCCCTTTCAAACGCCCCTTTCCCTCCCACCCCCCCTCCCTCCTCCGATGGCGTCTTTATCGATAAGTCTTGACATTACCAGGTTGCGCCAAGAGGGGGAGATGAGGTGCTCGCGTCGTAGGCTTCAATTACCGGATTTCTGCAGCCTGATTGTGCCGTTGGATGGTTTGGGTGAGGCACGGGCCGTTGAAAGGAGATGGAATTGATGAAAATCGCTCATCCCACCTGGTCAATGATCTGAACACCGAGCTCCATGTTTCGTTGTCTTATCGAGTTTATCATAGGGGCACTATGCGAAGCGAGGCCCCGATAACGCCATATTGAAACCGTACTTAATCTACTTGAGATGGTAGTCGAGGCTGATCATGTACTCATGTATCCCCCCCTCTTCTTTACTTGTGACAAGATGATCGATAAGTTAGTGGTAACGAGTAGATGGAGCACGGCAAGTGAGTATCTGCCTCAGGCATACATCCACAGCCCCACCCCACAGCTCATCGATGCCTGAGGCTGGGGATCGTGCAGGATATGGAATTCTGCACGTGATCGGCCGGCGATCAACAAGTCCGATGCACCTTTGCACCAGCACCACAACAGCTCGTCCGGACGACCCATCGGCACGCGCGTGAAGCCTCCGAAAGATACGATGGTGCTAGAACTCCATGTTTGGGGGCCGGCATTCTCCCTGCCGTCCATCGATGCGCAATGTCTGGCGACCATTGCCTATCTGTCTCTCGCCCTACCCAAGGACGCGTGGGTGCTCGTCGCAAGTAGCGATCCCTCGGTGTCTCCAACAAGTGCGTCGTCCGGGCTTCCCCCAAGGCCTCAAAGATTTCGAGACGACTTTACTAAATATTGCTTGTCGCAAATAGATGAACTCCCTGCCCTTCGAAACGGCAAGACCTGGGTCTCCCGCTTCCGCAACATAGTCGACTATCTCCGCCAATACTCCGCGGGCGATTGGGATCTGGATGCCGAATTGACCGGACTCGATCGCGCGGATAGTATCGCGTACGTTGTGATCCCATCCCCCCACCTGACCAAAAATCTGAAGCGCGAATAGATTCACCTCCTTCCTCGACACGCAATTCCCCCCTCTCCTCGCCCTCTCCCTCTACGTCACCAGCCAGAACTACTACACCTCCGTCCTCCCCGCCTACTCCTCGCAGATCCTCACCTGGCCCTCGACCTGGCTCATCCCCCCGCAAATCCGCGCCGCCGCCAAGCGCGCCTCTGACCACCTCGGCCTCTCGTCGCTGGACCTGGTCGCCCTGGAGGAGGACCGCAAGCGCGAACACTCGGCCGCCGTCGCCGCGGGGCGCCTCCCGGCCTCCCTCCCGCTCCCCAAAGCCGCTCCCACGATCACCTCGGGTCTGGCCACGACCCACCGCTTCCGCATGGAGGCAGTCACAGCGGCGGCCTTCGAGCCCCTCGCGGCGATGCTGCAGCCGGCCCAGAAGAACTATCTGCTTGGCGGGGACCGCCCCACGAGCGTCGACTGTCTCCTGCTTGGGTATGGGAGCCTCGCGGCGCTGGGGCCGGAGAGTCTGCAGGATGCGTGGCTCGGGGAGGCGATGCGGCAGAAGGCGCCGCGGGTGGTGGAGTGGGTGCGGAGCATGCAGCGCGAGGCCGGGCTGGCCAGCCTACCGTGGCGGAAGCCCGAGCGACCCCGCTGGGTCACGGTGGGCAACACCCTGTGGAACACCGTGGCGGACGCGACGCCCATCTGGCGGGATATCCGCGCCAACACCCGCATGCGCGAGATCGTGCACTCCCAGGAGGCGGATCTGTCCAAGGAGGAGCGCACCGCGTTGGCCGAGTATGTCACGGGGTATAAGAAGGATGTCTGGTTGTCCGTAGCGGTGGTCGTGGGCGGGGTGGCGGCGCTGGTGGGATATATGGCGCATGTGGGGTTGTTGGGCGGTGGGGGCGAGGATGAGGAATTTGAGGAGGACGACGAAGAGGAGGAGGGGGAGGTGGTGCAGCCTGAGTTGCCGGTGAGTCTGAATGCGACGGACTTCTTGGGGTCCTTGTCCCTTTAGTTAGGGGTGGGTTGTGATGTGTACATGTACGATAGTTTGGTTGATCGATCTAGAATGAATTGATTCACCGTTCGAGGAGATGTTTATGATGTTTCTAGTTTGAGGTAATGCAGTATCTTTATGTCTGGTTCTTGTACAAGACAGTCATGCATACCAGGGTGGACGGCTTCTCCAAAGTGCACTTGCACTGCCTGTACAGCCTGGAGTACGTAGAATTATACCTCATCTGGAAAGACCACCACTGTCATCGGTCCAGCTCTGATCTATAGGCTTGCTAGTATGTATCTAGCATGGATACCATCCACCGAACCGATCTAATGCTCATAGCGAGCACACTCGGTATCGGCCACGAAGTATATGAGGACTGTAACTCGCAAGCCATCGATATACTGCATGGCCTCGCTGATAAATCTTCTTGTCCATAACCTCTCCTTCTCTATCCCATCTAGCACGGGAACAGATACCTCGAGATCATCCCCATACAGTAGCAGACTAGAATCCAATACCCCCGGTAGGGTGAGACCCAACCGCCCCCGAGTATTCAAGCGTGTATCTCCATCTCCAGAATACCCAAATATAAACAGAATCATACATCCACAACCCAAACCAATAGCAGGTAGTAGTAGTAGTAGTAGTAGTACACCAAGAAAGCACCTATACAACCAACCCCTACCACAACATCCCCCAGAGTAAATTCAACTGTACAGTACAAATCCACCCATGCCCCCCTCCCCCCCTCCCCCCTCCCCCTCTCTCCCGTCTCCCATACCCAGCCCCATACCCCTCAAGAAAACCCCCGAATCAACTCCGCCACCACGCGCACCGTCTCCGCAATCCGCTCCTCCCCCACAAACGGCGCACAATGACTACACTCGATCTCGCGGACGACCCACTCCCGCCCCGTCGCCGCCATCATCGCATCCTGCGCCTCCCGGGGGACGGCGCGATCCCTGGCCGTGACCACGAACGCCAAACCAGGTCCAACTGCCTCCGCCCACGCCGGCGCCGGCTGCGGGGACGTAAACGCCCGGGTCGCGTGCGGCCGGAGATACGTCTCGAGACCTGCCACCTCCCCCCGGGCCTCTGGAAGGAAATTCCCCACCGGGTCGTCGGGGTAGTTGAGTAACGGAGCGGGCTGTTTTCCGGGTGCTGCTATTAGCCCACAATCCCCATCGAACTTCCCTCTCCATCCATCCAGAAAGATAGTCTCAAGGGGCTGGGGCTGGGGCCGGGGCCGGGGCCGGGACCTGGGGGAATAAGCATATACACACCGTATCCAACAAAATCCACCGGGGCAGCGCACCCCCCTGCAACCCGGCGCAACTCACCCCCTCGGGGACGAGAAACGCCGCCACGAAGATCATGCCCACCACCCCACCGGGTTTTCCGGCCCGGTGGCGCGCGGCTTTGCTCAGCCCGGACGCCGCCGCGGCGCCCGGCATCCCGGCGTAGGAGTGCATCACGAGGATGACCTCGCGGCCTTGGGATTCGATGAGCGTGCGCAGCCGGGTGCGGATGGCGGTGGTGTCGGTTTGGACGTCGGCGGCCGTTGCTGGGTCGTCGGGGTTGGGGTCCAGGGACGGGTAGGGGATGTGCTCGGTGGGGAGGGTGGTGGTTTCGGTCAAAGTGGAGAGGAAGGGTTGGTAGAAGGCGGGGGTGAGCCAGGCGCCGGGGATGAAGGCTATTATTGGTGCCATCTTCTTATGTGTGGTTTTCTTCGGGCGTGGGATTCTGTGGATTTGTTGTGTCTGGTCTAGCTATTGTGGTTCGGGATCGGGGACTGGGATGCTGCTTTTTCAAGGTGGGATGGAGGCTGGCGGGAGTATGATATGTGAAGTTTGGGGAGGAGGGGGGGGGTTTACTGTACTCGGTGAGTATGATGAGGAGATGGATGCGGGGTCTGGAGAAGGGGAATTGGGCTTGGTCGATGGTTTATGTATGTGATACTGGTAGCGTAGTGGAGTGTGGATGTAGGCCCTACCCTAGTACTAAACCACCCCCTCTCTCTCTAAGTTGCAGCCTATGATCATGATATCGGTAGCTTAGGGATGATGTACAATAGCTGAGATGGTCTAACTTCGACCCCCGCAGCTTAGCTTCATTCCTTAGTCTGGTTGGGTTATACGGTTCGGGAATCGTGCTTACGGCGTCGGCCATGCCTGCTGGGCTCTCCTGCCAATGGTAGAGGCTTATTTGTTGTACGTGGGGAGCTTAGGGGTTGCTTGGTTCAATGGAGTGGACTACTTGAGATGCAGTATGGAAGGGGGTTTGGGGAGAGAGGGAGAGAGAGGCGCGGAGGGTTCATTTAGATACCCAAATCAGTTACTTAGCGACTAGTATGACAATGCCCATTTGTTTGCAGAATAACTTCATATTGTAGAAAGTAGTACAATACATCAATATCACAATCCGAAATTAGCATATAATACAGTTCCATCCCCTTATCGAAACATAGTCTAGTGCCCAGCTAATTAGCGATTGACAGCATCCCGTCATGTCAGATAGAACAGGTATAGTACATCGTAGGGTGGGTTGTGTTGGTTGTATGCGACCAGCGCTATTGTTGTTGTTGTTGTTGTTGTTGTTGTTGCTGCTGCTGCTGCTGCACCTCGACAATCGCAGACTGTCATGAGTACTGCATGCAGCAGGTTGTTGCGGCATTCGTGCTTCCGCATAGGCGAAATGCAGAAGCGGCCAAATAAAGGAGTGACATGACATGACATGATGCGGCGTGAGATGGCATAATCGGAACACAACTCCCCAAAGTCCAGTAGGAAACACCTAACACCAAAACTAGCAAAAGGGGCAGCGAAAAGAAATCAAGAACAAGATGTCGAGGTAGCCACGGGCACACGGCCTAGGGAAGATAGCCCTAACGTTAGTTCTGGTTGCTGACAGACAAGGGTCGCACCCGGGCAAATCCCCTCGCAAGCGATGTTCTGGAGGAAAACACAAGAACCCGAGATATGGCACAAGTAATGTACAGTACAGCAGCTAAAGAAATAATGAAACATGCAGGCGATTATCCGAAACAACAATTCCAAACTGAACGGACGGCATGAACAGCGGAGATCGAAGGCGACAGACTCAATGCACCATGGTCAAGGGGGCATAGGGGCATGGTGCACAGTTGCGGTGACGAAGAGTCCAGAATGGCGAGAGTAAGCATCATCCGTCGATTTGGCCGCCGGTCGAGAACGAAACAGACGCCGTCGATCGGTCCGCCTCACTTTGTGGGAGATTGAAGCCGCGCGGATAACCCGCGGTCCCGGCGACAAATTGCTCAAGCCTAACCCTCCAGCAAGCTAACTGTCCAGCAGTGCTTCGGAGGAGGCTGCTCTTTGTCCCGAGGTACATCAGACAATACTTTTCACTTCCACCGTTGCTTATCCCAGTCGGAAGGTCTCGTCTCATCGTAGATTTGTCCTCCCTGGTTGTGAATGATGACGGGAGCTTGTGTTCGACGGGGACCAGCATGCGAGCCTAACTCGGGGGATTGGTGGTTAGTTCTCGATGCAAGAAGAGCAACGGAGATAAGATCTAGACATACCTCGCATGTCCGTCACCACAACACCGTTCCCGCTGCTGCCACTGCTAGACAGAGAGGAGGTCGAGTCGCTGACTTTGTGAGGCATTTTGTTGAAAGTGGAATTGTACACGAGATTGAATTTGGGCGAAGTAGATGAAGTAATTGGAGTGGATAGTATGAGAAGTGGCGGATTTCAGTGGAAGTACAGGCAAAGGTGGGAGATATATGTACGCTGGTTGATCTATGGCTGAGCAAGGCACAATAACCAGGAGAACGATGAGGCGCACGCAGGTAGGGAGATCACAAGGTAGTGAAGGATGAGAGATAGAGCGAAGAGAAACTCAGAAGTGATGTAGTTTGTTGTAGTTGTAGTGAATAGCTGTAGTAGTTGGTTGAAAAAACAAGACGGATGAAAGGCAGGACAATGGGGGCCTTTTGTATGTTTCCCTTCCCACGGTAGCAGAAGAAGTATAAGTGATCGGGAAATAGACAGAAACCAATCTGGACTGGGGGCCTGGAGCAATGCCAAAAACGGATCCCAATCGCATCTCGAATCGTTTCCCCCGGGTTTTACGAACCCAGGAAGAAAGGGCAGATCGGTCATCTTGCAGAGCGACTAGTAGGAAGAAGCTCCGGGCCCGCCCTGGCCTGCTTCATCGCCCATCATCCTCCATCCATGCTGTATGCACTGCACTGCACTGTATCTACGCTTTACGAAGCATCGTCGATCCCCAGTTCCCAATCCAGACGTCATGACCCGAAACCAACCAACAGAGAATCGGATGTCTGGAATCCCCATCGAAGCGTCCAGGCTCCACCGTGCTGCCTGCCCGGGCTGCCAGGGGCAAACCGAGCCCGAATGGGGACGAGGCAGCAAACCGGATGATTCGTCACTTGAAGCATCCGGCGAAAGGGCGGTTTCAGGGACCGACCCATTGGGTTCGACAGCTAACCTAAGCATAGCCCAGGAGGTGAACAAGAGTATGTGAGAGTGAGCCTTGTTGCCCGGGCACCAGCCACACTTGTGTTAGACAGGAAACCTGAGCACCGCCTGATTCTGAGTTGGACATGCTCCGTACCCCCTTTTGCTACCCAGTGCCAGTGCCTGGGCATAGGGAGGATGCTGTGGCGCGGATGGAGGCTGAGACAGTCTGCTGTCCAACAGGTACCGTTATGAACTGGGTCCACGGTGTGGTGCTGGTCTGGTCTGTCCGTAGTCTCGCCTTACCTGTCGTAGTTCCCGGGAGGGCGACCAACCCCGGCAGATGACCGTATAGAACAGACAACGAGACAATATGATTGGTGCTGGCGACGTATTCAAGCCGTCAATTACAGCCCATAACAGCTACTCTCTCGGTCACATGACCGAAGGGACAAGTCGCAGAGCAACTGGCCGATTAGTCAGACTCCCTCCCCGACCAAAATAGTAGCACCGCCTTCCGGATACCTACCTACCTGCCCGGTGGTCTGGCCAGCTTCACATCGCATCATCATCATCATCATCATGATTATCCCCATCCTCACGGCTGATGCTACCCAGCTACCTGAGTGACGGTGAAGGGATCGTCGTCCCCTCCCATCTTCCAGACAATCGACAATAGTGATGCTGTTCTCATTCAATTGCCGCGGGCCTTTTCCCCGGATACCTCTACCAGGTCTGGCAGCCGTGCGCCCATTCTAGCTTTCCATAGTTTGCGCGATTATCACCTACTTCGTACTCATAGTTTCGGAGTTCAAGTTACTATCTGATTATTCAGTCATCTTCCCAAACGGGCTACATCGGTGGTGGCCATACTATGTAATACTAGAAAGGACCACTGGAAAGTCCGGTGCAAACCGAACGTTAATGCTACTCCTCCAACGGGCTGGCCGTTTCTGCGGTGTAGCGTACAATGTATGTCCACCACTCGTACCACCTTACCTTGCAGTCACTACCTAGTAGACTTAGAGTGTGCTATCTATCATACAATAGAACCAAAATCCGTACGATAGTTAGCCACCAGTACGGAGAAGACATACGCATAGTTTAGACCAGCTAGCTAGCTAGCTCAGTAGCTCAAGCTAGCAAGCTACGCAGCACCTCCCCTCCCCGCCCCCATTGCTCTGAAGGTGTACCTAAAATAGGCCCCGAACCCCAACCGGGCCCAGCCATAGACAACCAGACCTAGACTAAGTGCTGTACTGTACAGTACAGCTTTGCCTAGCTAATACTCTCTGAGCAACGCACGCGAATCATGACGACCTTGGAGCACGTACAGTAGTCTGTGTGGTTGGAGGGGATTAAGAAAAGCCCGGGCTTTACTCATACTAGTTGTTGGTTAGTAGCCATGCCTTCTACATAAAAACTACTACTCGATATCAGATGATCCCATGCCCCCATGCCCCCATGCCCCCATGCCCCCCCGGGCCCCTCCCCTATGTGATCTCACCGCTATCTTGACGGACGCTATGCTATGCCCACGCTTCTGTCCGGGACAAGACGGATGTCCTCCCTGCTTGCTCCGGATTTAGGATTCTGTGCAATGTAGAAATGAACGTATCTTTGTCCGCGTAAGTTGGCACCAGCTAACGAACTACTACCCCGACCCAGGGACGGAACCCTCGACACCGCCAGATGGGATGGAAAACAACCCGTGCTCCGGGGCTGGCATATCATTGACCAAGATCGAGGCAGGGACGTGTCACAGCTCCTGATAATTGCTGTAAGGTAGATAGATGGTAGATGGGTCGGGAGGGAAAGAAAGACAGGTCCCCCTGCGCAACTGCCAACTGTACCTGCGTTTGTTTCCCCATTGCTAGATGGAGACGGAACTGATTATCTAATTCCTGAGTCATCGGGACTGCGCGGTCACTTCAGCTCCGACCGGGCTGGACTCGAAAGGGTTAGACTACTTGCGCCAGGCCCGCTAGCATTGCCAGGCGGAGAGTGAGGCTGCACGGTTTGGGTGGACTGGTTGGTTGGTTCGCCGGTCACGGGTGGTGACGCACTCGAATTATGGATAATGATGGTGATGACGATGATGCGTATGTAGATACTGTACGTACCTTTTTTCTTTGTCGAGGCAAGGCTTCAGTTAGCGTCATGCTGTCTGGAGGCAGACACTGTGGTGGCCTGGTTAGGCTAGATGCGTCATGCTCTTGGGTTCTACTTGTGTGGTGCTGTTTGGGCAGGTACGGAGACTGTACTTGTCATCTGTGTTCTTGTGTGCATAAATGCAGCGTTGCTGCGTGCTTTGTCATCAATACACACTGTGCGGCTTCCAGGGGGCATGCATGTCTCCTACCCAAACAACCTCCCTATCCCACCGAGCAGGGGGTGTTGACACAGAGGTTTATCTGTATGACCCTCTGTTTCAGTATAAGTGAGCGGATACCAGGGTGACAGCCAGTGTCAAGGGGCTATTGCTGTGGTTGTTGCGAGAGCAAAACCCATGTTTCACCGTATCTCACCTTGAGACGTACGTCTAAGA